GGCCTCGGGTCCCCAGCGCACGAGCTAGTTTTCCGGGCGCGGCGGACAGTTGTGTGCCCGGGGGAGCCGCCGATTGGTGCATTTCCCTTGCCTCGGCTCAGGCTCTCTCCCCCCTGCCCCCCCAACCCCGTTCCCTTTGTTTCATTGACTTTTGTGAATGAAACCCCAGGGCCGGGCACGCCCGCCAATCCGGAGACTCGCTTGGCCAAGCCGAGGGGCGGAGTTTCCCAGTCGCGGGGGCCAATCAGAAAGCAGGGGCTGCTTCCTGGCTTCATTCACTGCTTGGGCTCTCATTCATAAAAAAATAAACTCGCGGCCGGAGTTCATTCAGAAAGAGCTGGGAGGAAAAGAGGGAAGCTGAGGACCCGGTGGCTTCTCTGAGGGGCTCGGCGGTGGCCCTGGGTCTGAGGCTCAGCGAGCTCCTCCGACTGGCGTCTCCATGCGTCTCTGTGCATCTGCATGTACGTGGGAGTGTGAACATGTCTGTGTATGCGCCCTGGGGCGAGGTGAGCGGACCTGTGTGCCCAGAGGAACCATAATAACTAGCGTTTATGAAACGCTCCTCTTCCACGTGCTCATTTCATTCCCATAACCTGGCGCAGTGGCTCTATAGTCTCCATTTTACAGAGATTGAAAATGAACACCCAGAGAGGGGCGGTGACTTGGCTGAGGTCACTCAGCTGCTGGGGTTTACGGTTCCCCATCGCCCACGTTCTCCTGTACAGCCCTTTGAGGCCACAATTAAATGAATTAAAGCTACATGACAACAACGAATACACAGTAGGCACTCAGTAAATGTAAGCGGGCATGGAATCCAGGCTTTTCCTCAAGGGTCTGTGCTCTGCAGAGCAGTTGTGTGACCCACTTTCTAGTAATTGCAGCAAAGGCCCCAGCTTGGACCTCTGAAAGGACAGCTCCTCTCAGCCATCTTTCCTCTTACAGACAGGCGGTATTAAGGAGCAAAAGCCCAAAGGATCTGATGATCTGGGGGGAGGACTGATTTCAGTTCTAGCCAAAAAACTGGTCATTATCTCTGTCACCTTATTTATTCTCTTTATTCAATAAACATTTATTGTGCCAGACACAATGCTAGGTGCCAGGCAAACAGCTGTGACCAAGACAAGCACTTGGGAGTTGGGCTGCTGAGGCTGCAGCCATGGGCACACACAGGACATGAAATCCCTCAGGCCTTTTTTTTTCTGAGACAATTCTCTGGGTCTAACTTGGATGCACATCTTTGAGGAGAGCCTGATTTTGCTTGCTGCCTGTTTGTGATAAACACAAGAGACTGGCCAATCCCCAGGTCACTAGTGGCTGCTTTCAAATTCATCTAATCTAACACCCCACTTTACAGATGAGGCAGCGGGAGGTTCTGAAAAGGAAATGATACACGTGAGCTCTTTCCACTGGTCAGGGTCAGAGCTGGGACTAAAACACCAAACCTCTAGCACCTGTTTAGGGCTCATTCCATGAGATCATCTTGGGCAAATGAAAATAAATTTCCCTCTCTTCTCTGCTGAAATATTCTTTATCACTGGTAAGGCTCATATCTGCTGCCTCTCTCCTCCAGGAAGCCTTCCAGATAGACGGAATCAATTCCTTAAGGACCCACAACATTCTTGCCTCTATCTCTGACGTGGATGACTCTTATTCTGCCTCATCCCTAAGTATGAAGACTTCTCCAAGGCCCAAAGGAGGTCTCATTTACCTCTGAAATGCTTCCCCCAGCCTGCTTCATGCTTGTGAGAGTCTCATGAAGTACGTGTTCGGTGAATAGGTACAAGAAAGACAAAACTACTGTAACTTAGCAGGAACCCTGCCCAAAGGAGGAGAGAGAGACAAGCTCCAGCAAATCCCAGCTTTGGGCTGGATGGAACCAGTTTAGGGAGGAGTTTGTGTCTCCGGGCCAAGAGAAGTGGGGGAGGAGGACAGAGGATTCTTCCCGAAGGCAGCTCTGATATGTCTTCAAGACAAGGAAGAAAATTCTGGTGGGTCCCAGAGCAGGCACTCAGGTTGGGGTTTTTTAGGGGTTCTTAGCTGTTTCTGAGGGGGCCCCTGGCTCACCCCCACTTCCCATGCAGGGCCTCCTCTGGCTCTGGCTCAGGCTCAGCTTGCTGGCTGAGTAAGAGAAGGTACCACTGTTGCTGCCACTGCTGTCACCTGGCCTCCAATTCACCAACACCCGGGCTCCTAACAGTGAGCTCTCCTGGGGGAACATTGGAGCCGCTTCCAGGGTTCGAGGTAGTTGGGGAGAGGAAGGGATAGAGAGGCTGGAGATTTCTGTTGGCGTCACATTACAATGACCCACACCTACTCGCCATGCTCTGCTGCGAGGGCTGGACCTGCATTAACTTATGCAGTCCTCACAGCTGTCCTGTGAGGTGTCGGCCCCATTTTACAAATGAGGAAACTGAGGCCTCAAAAACGCACATCGACCCCAAGGGTCCACTCAATAGACTGAGGACACCCCAACCAGACGGACAGGCACAAAGACTACACTTTGAGAGAATCCACAACAAGCCAGATGGAGGACAAGCCTGAGCCAGAGAATCCCCATAGACACACCTGGATGAAGGGTGCTCACAGTATTCTCCTGGACACACACCACATCCTACCTGACACCTCCTATCACACCTTTGGTGGGGTTTGCAAAGGTAAATGTTTCCTTCCCTTTAGTATATTGGAACTGTTATCTGACCAGTTTCCCAGGAGTCTAAGTTATAAAATATAAATGTGGGTTTTAGATATGCAGATGTTCATACCAAGGCAGCCTGAGGCCTAGCTCTGGGATGTGAAGGGAGGAGAAGCTGTGTGAGGTGCCGGGATCAGACTAAGAGGCTCAGGATTCATTAGAGAAGCAGGTTCTCCCCCCTGGGGCCTCCAGATAGGGGAGCGGCAGCGGCCTGGGTGACCTGTACAACCTGACTGTGAAGGGAAGACAGGATGTCTCCCAAGGCCTGGCTTCCTCAATGTCTGGAAGAGCTGAGTCCCAAGGCTTAAAGGGTGGAGCTCAGAGGCTCACCCAGGGACAGCTCGGTAAGGCCAATGGATGAGATCCACGGTTAAGTGGTGTCCTATAACCCTTTGGTGTCTCCCAAGGTGGACCTATCACCAGGGGGAATGAACCAGAGAGCAGGGTCAGGCGGAGGGGATGGAGGAACATGGGGTCTTCCCATGGGCTGGTGAGTCAGGACCACCAAGAAAAAAGACGCTCCACTCTTGAACTTCCTTTTGTCCTTGTCTCATAGCCCCGCTTTCACATCGCTTCCTCTAAACCGCCAGGGGGCTGAACCAGGGACAATGCGTGTGTAGTCCCTGAAACCATCTGCCTGTACGTGTGTGCGCGCACGCACGCACGCACGCACGCAC